GCCTGCTGGGGAAGGCAGCAGGCTTGGCTGGAGCATGGAAAGTGATGAAGAAGCCAGTGGATCATAGAGGAAGCCAGGGGCTGAGTGGAGCTCCAGGTAAAGAAAGGGGCTGCCAGAGAGCAGGCAGAGGCTGGGAACAGGACACAAAGCTCCTACCCACTGCTGGACCCAGTGCACCCCTTGCACTAGGGAAGGGAGCCTGGTGAGCACCCCAACACCTTCCCTCCATGAGCTACAGCCCTCAGAGGGATCCAGTGGCTCCGGTTGATGAGCAGGAGGGGCTGGGGGAGGTTTACATTAGCAAAGAGCCATCCAGGTGCCAACAGCAGTTCAGTACAAACACTCAAAGCAAAGCAGGCAAGCGCTGCTGCCGCTACCATAGAAGGCACCAGCAAGGGGGATAAAACAGCAGAGCAGCTCTCCCCTGGCAGGGCCAGCTCGTGGAGCAGCCACACCATGTCTGGGCCTGTCTCCACGATGCTCCAGGATGTTTTCAGCAGCGTGCTGGGCACCCCCTGCCCTTCCCTGTGGTGAGGTCCCAGGTTTGCTTTTTGGGGTGGGCTGGGATGCAAACAGGGTAGCCTCCCACCAGTTCACACAGCAAAAGAACAGGGAAGCCGAGACACTCTGGTCTCCCCTCTCCCCATCTGTGAGGTCCTCTGGGACCGTGAAGGCCAGCTCTGGCATCGTGTGTCATTTGGCAACACTCCCCCTCCTGCAACAGCACCCTCCTTCAGAGCCAGCAAAGCCACCCAGCAGCCATGGGGGAAGGCTGTCCCTGTCACCAACCCTGTCCCCTCCCAGACTGCTGGGCACTGACACTGCTCTCTGACCACTGACACCACGAGCTGCAGCCCAAGAGTCAAACTCCTCATACCGCATTTCCACTGCGGAAACACCACCCCATCCTTTTACATCAGGAGGGGGAACCCTTGACCCTTGCTCAGGTCTTTCTGGTACTGACCCAGAGCTGCAGACGCAGCACTACTCGAATCACACTGGGACTTCAGCGTGGTCCCAGCGTGCAGAGCTGGAGCAATGCCCCTGGCCCCCCTGTTACCATTTTTGGCTGGTGCTGCTGCAGCACCTCTGAGGACCAGTCAAGGGCCAGGACCCTGTGCTCCACCATGTCAGCACCTGATCCTCCTCTGCAGCCCTAGGGCCACCGTTCTGCAGCAGCAAGCAGCAATCTCCCTGAAAACCTCCCTCTGCTCCCACCCAGGGACCTGCCAGCCCCAGCAAAAAGCCAGGACCTTCTCTGCAAAGTTGGCCTGAAGCCCTGGCAGGTTTATTCATATCCCAGATCAAAGCCTAACAGCTACGTGAGCCCGATGCCACAAGCTGCAGGCGGGAATCGCACACGTGTGGGAAGGCAGCCTCTTCCAGCAGGGTGGGGATCAGACCCTCCATGGCTTTATGAGACCACCGTCATCTTTCCCCAGCTGGGGAAACTCTCTGGATCCCATCAGCCCCATCTGGAAACACCAGTCACCTCCCTTTCGACGACCATAACTTCCCCTAACAAGTGCTTACATGCCGCAGGCTTGCTTAACAAGCCGCTGGCTTTTCACCCATCTGACCAGCCAAAGGGAAACTGGTACCAGTTTGTGTCCCAACTGGCTGGGGCGGGGGGCAAAGGCACCCTGGAGGCAGGGTCCAGCATCGATCCAGTGAGCTGCACCCGTTCGGTTGGGGAGGGATGCGCGACCTCCAGCTCCCCGGGACCGGGACGGGCATCCCCCTCTCCCC